AGTTGTTTAGCATAATGGGAGCATATTGTATTGTATATGGGGATATAAGATGAGATAAGAGATAGAAGAGGGAGTGGATCATGAGCAGGATTGTAATCTAAGTTGAGATTTTTTCTGTTTTTTTGGAGATGGAGTTTTGCTCTTGTTTCCCAGGCTGGAGTGCAATGTCTCGGTCTCAGCTCACTACAACCTCTGCCTCCCAGGTTCAAGGAATTCTCCTGCCTCAGTCTCCCACGTAGCTGGGATTACAGGTATGCACCACCACGCCCAGCTAATTTTGTATTTTTAGTAGAGACGGGGGTTTCACCATATTGGTCAGGCTGATCTGGAACTCCTGACCTCAAGTGATCCACCTGCCTCAGCCTCTCAAAGTGCTGGGATTACAGGCGTGAGCCACCTCGCCAGGCCTGAAATTGAGAATTTTGAACTTTATCCAGAGATCAATTTGTGTATATGTAGAGTGGGTGTGGGCTGTGGGCACATTTTGTGGCAGAAGAGGATAAAAGGAATGCACTAAAAGGAAGAAACAAAATCAGATTTTTTTTTAGAGACATTGCCAAGGTACAGATTAGATTAGTGGTAACAAAAAAACCTGGGTCTAGTTAGGAAGGCTTTAATGTTATCTAAGTGATTAATGTTATTTGTCTGCACTAGGGTTTAAATGGACAGTTAGAAAGAAGAGTGTAGAAATATTGGAGAGAGATTTTCTAGGTAGAATCAACAGAAATTGATATTGGGCTAGGTTTGGAGAATAAGGGGAAAGAAGAGGTGGGTAATGACTTTGGCATCTGTTTTGTGTAACTAGGTAACTAGAGATGAACTGGTCATCTTCTGACAGTATGTCAAGAAATGGTGGCATAGGAAGCAGGAAGAAAATGGAAAGATATTAGTATGAAGAGCAGGAGAGAAATCTACCTGGACAGAGACTCTGGTTTCACCCATGTGGGACTCATTTTGATCAGCACATTAGGAATCTGTACACGTTTCTGTAGATGCATTCCACCGCCAGTAGAAGCTGAGAAGTTTATCCGCCTAGAATTGGAGAATGCAAAATATAGACACAAGTTTGGATGGCTTTCTACAAATGCTGACCAGCCATTAAAATGTTAGATAAATGTTTTAAACACATTGATTTGGGTCTCGTTGCACCCACAGGATCAACACCTATAAAGAAGGGGGAGAATGGAAATAGGATTGGACAGAGAGAATTGTTGAAATGCCAAACAATGATAACAAATGGCTCAGCCAGTTTCAGTGGGAGATCTGGAGCTGAGATAGTCCTTTCGCTTTATCCTTTTGAGGCAAGGAGGCCTGGCTTATGTACCCACAGTGGATCTGAACTGCTCCAGATGGGAAGTGTCACCTTGGGTGAGCAGATTTCTTCAGCTTAAGACCCTGGTTCCCAAAGTGTGCTTCCCAGAACAGTAGCATCGACATTACCCTGGCGCTTGCTAGAAAGACAAAATATTGGGCTCCACCCCAGATTTCCTAAATCAGAAGTCTGGGGGAACAGCCATCTGAGCTTTAAGCTCACCCAATACACTTCAAAGTTTGAGAGTCCTGGCTTCAAGAAATTTTGAGGCAGACTCAGTTGAAAGTTGCCAGCAGTAATTCAGCAACTGGGAAATGAATCTGTCATTCCTGCAGGAGAAAAATAAGGGTCCCACCACTGCCTCATCAGCAGGAAAAGTCAGAAAGTCTAGGCAAGACACAGTGTCTTCTATTTTTACTTAGAAATACTGAGAGCAGTTTTAGTTGGAAGGACATAGAGGAAAAACTAAAGTATTCGGATATTAATTATGAAAATGGACTATGAAGCTTCTTTTACATTTATTGCCTTTTCTTTATATCAACTATTCACCTTACATATACAATTAAGTATTTTTAATATCAACAACTCCTCTGAAGTCAACTATGATTACAACAAATACTTATAGATCAGGAGTTTTATGTCGTGATTAAGGAATAGAATATTTTACCAGTTCAAATAGTTAACTGTAACTCACAATATGTTTTTCCCCCTTTATTATGTACAAGCTGGTAGTGATTTAAAAAGGAGCTCTTGAAAGTGAGTTAAATTCCATTATATAGAAATATTAATCTGAAGCAAATATATCTTTCCTTGGCTATTTAGCATATAAGTTAAATTTTTGTTATAATAAAATACCTAATAATTCATTAAAACACTCATAAGATTGTATTAAACCTCACTTTAAACCCACATTCAATCAATTCTTTTCCAAGGCCATTGGTTATATATACATTTTATTGCTGAGCTTCTGTATCTAAATTCCTATAACGCCAGCCTTGACTAGAGAAATATTCATTGGCAATGCACAATTTATTAAATGCACAGAACAATTTGATGGTTCAGTTCGTCGAAATCTAGACGCTATAAGGTGGACATCTTTAAATTTTCTCACCGCTCAAGGCTGGTAGAAAATTGCAATTCATCTTGAAAGGGGATAAAATATTTACTTTTGCAAAAGCCAGTAAGGTTTCTATGCCACTTGAAATAGAATGAATGCTAGAAAACAGAAACAAATAAAAATGTAGCAGATTTAAAGATCCCTGGAGAAGGAGATTCAGATATTTGGTTTAGCTGCTACGAAAGGATAATTAGTAGTTTTTTAGAAAAAAAGTAAGATGTAAATCTCTCAATAGAGCCAATATAAAACAAGTTAAAACATGGAGAAAACGCCCAAAAGGCAGAGAACATTACAATGCAGAAATATATGTTTCAATTTGCGTGTGTAATTTGCTTTCTAGTTTCTAAATAACCCAATATCACAAGTGGGTTGCAAGCTCAGCACCCTGGAGCTGGGTGAGCCGTTTCTTCCTTGTTGGTAATATGTTCCTGCTCTTTCTGGCTCCATACTATTCACCATATTACTGTCATGGAGAAGGGCAATGACAGAAGACAGTAAACTGGAGAGTGAGTTTGTGAGTTTGTGGCTTTCTAGAAAGAGAAGCTGACCTTGGCAGTCTCAACTGCTTTTGATTAGCAGTGGTACTTCAGGGATACCCTAAAGGCAAAAGGCAGTGGTTCTGGCATTCTGTTGCAGGTGAAAGCATATATTAATAATTTCAATCTAGTTAATCCTTTTATACTAGATTAATGGGATTTTTTAAATTGAAAACTCTACTAAAATTTTATTTTTGGTGCTTGAATAATATCCTATTCATATTACCTAAACATAATAACTGTGAATAGGAATTTTAAAATATTTTATTTTATTAATTGACAAATAAAAATTGTATGCATTTATTGTGTACAACATGATGTTTTGAAATATGTATACATTGTTGAATGACTCACTCTAGTAATTAACGTGTGCATTACATCACAAACATCATTTTTTTAATGGTGAGAAGAGAAAAATATGATTTTCAAAATGCAATATGTTGTTATTAACTATAGTCACTATGTTTTACAGTGGATCTCTTGAACTTTTTCTTCCTATCTAACCAACATTGTACTTCGATCAAAATCTTCCATTTACTTCGATCAAAAATCTTTGGTGTACTTCCAAAATCTTCCCCTACACCCCCACACCAGCCCCTGGTAACCATCATTCTATGAGTTTAACTTTTTAAAATTTCACATATAAGTGAGAAAATTCAGTAATCATTTTTCTGTATGTGGTTTATTTCACTTAATCTCCAGGATCATCCATGTTGTGAAAAATGACAAGATTTCCTTCTCTTTAAGATTGAAAAGTATTCCGTTATATTTATATATCACATTTTCTTTATTCATTCATCCATGGATGGATGCTTAGGTAGATTTCTTATCTTTGCTATTGTAAACAATGGTGCAATAAACATGGAAGTGCAGGTATCTCTTCAACATGCTGATTTCATTTCTTTTGATATATACCCAGTAGTGGATCTGCTGGATCATACTATAGCTCTATTTTTAATTTCTTGAGGGACTTCCTTACTGTTTTCCATAATGACCATACAAATTTACATTCCCATCAACAGTGTACAAGGGTCACCTTTTCTCCAATCCTTGACAGCATTTGCTATCTTTCGTCTTTTTCATAACAGTCATTCAAAGAGTTGTGAAGTGATATCTCATTGCGGTTTTAATTTGCATTTCTCTGATGTTAAGTAATGTCAAAAATTTTTAAATTTATTTCTTGCCCATTGTATTTCTTCTCTTGAGAAATATCTCTCTTGGTCCTTTGCCCATTTTTAAATCAGTTTTTTTTTTTTCTTTCTGTTGAGTTGTTTGAGTTTCTTATATATTTTGGGTATCAATGCCTTATCAGATGTATGGTTTGCAACTACTTTCTCCCATTCCATAAGCTGTCTTTCACTCTACTGATTGTTTCCTTTGCTGTGCAGAAACTATTTTTTTTCATAATCTCATTTATCTATTTTTCTTTTTGTTGCCTGTGCTTTGGAGTCATATTAAAAAAAAAAATCATTGCCCAGACCAATGGAACTCTCCTCTATGTTTTCTTCTAGCAGTTTTATAGTTTCAGGTTTTGTGTTTAAGTCTTTAATCCATTTTCAGTTGATTTTCATATATGGTGTGAGATAAGGGTCTAGTTTTATTCTTCTGGAAGTGGATATCCAGTTTTCCCAACACCATTTATTGAAGAGACTGTCCATGTTTTGTGTCTGTTCTTGGCACCTTTGTTGAAAATCAACTGACCATAAATGTGTGGATTTATCTCTGGGCAGAAATATTTTTAATGCATATATTTGATATTAAAAGCAGAGTGTAAGGTCATTTATTTACCTCTAAATGTATTCCCTTTATCTTGGTACACTACTCTGATTTTAATGAACGTCTCCTTCCTGCTCCCACGACAACCATGTGCTACAGGAAACTGAACATGTTTGCTAGGAACAGTCATGGCACGTGGGCTCCCTAGCCATATTTGTTCCCAGATGGCCTGTTGTTTAGCTGGTTTGATCAGAGTGAATCTCAGAGCATGTAGTTGGAGACTGTGGTAGAAATGTCCTTCTTTGCTTTTGCTTCATAGCAATGCAGAAGTATGATTTTGGGGAAGCCACCGTCATTCATCTTGAATCAAGAGAGAGAAGCCTCCAAGGAGTGAAGCAAACACCCAGGAAGAGAAGTTGAGAAATGCAAAAAGTATAAAGACACGTCCTGGGAATTTCTTTTGAGCTGTCGTTAAAGCACTATGTGAAATTATTCTCAATCACTAAAGCAATAAATTATCTATATTAATTAAGCTTGTTTGAGTTGTTTCTACTACTTTTAAACGAAAGCATTCTGTTAAAAATAGTAATCTTGCATCTTTCAATCCTTAACTCAGATGTAAAACACAACAAAAAACAGAAATGAAACCAAAGTAGCAATATTTCTACACAGGTGTTAACTTCTTCTGACTTTCTGCCTAACTCATATATCCTGGGTGCATGCAATACCTAATTTTAATTGCTTATGCTGCCTCAACATAGTTAAAGCCATATACACCCAATATCAGTGTGTAATTTGGAGACTAATTATTTCCTTTCCTTAATTTGTTGCCAAAAACCAGGAATCCTGTAATCGAAGTATTATTTAGGTGTCAGAAGTGTTTCTCAATATTAACAAAAGACAGTCATCGATAAATAAAAATTCTATTTCACTCAAATATTTTGATTACGGTAATAAAGAACACAAGAAAAAATAATGGGAAATCAGAGAAAAAACAAATTCTTTATTTTTCTGTTTCAAAGATTAACTGGAGGGATCTGTTGCCCTTTACTATATAATTAGAAAGACTTGAAGTTAAAATTTCATAAGTATTAAAGGCATGTTTTCCTGGATATATTGGTCTAAAAAACTTAGAGAAAATATGTGCTTTTATTGCAGGTCAAAATTCACAAGAGGAATACCATCATTGAATAACCAAAAATGTCTGTTTTCTGTTTTTTTTCACTTGACTGCATATGTATGTTTATATAATCGTTGTAGACAGCTCCTTCTAGTGTCTGTGTTTTTAAGTTTTAAGGGAGTACAATAAGGAGCCCACTAGGAATATTACAATGGAGGAAATAATTGTCTTTCTTGGAAATAAATGATAAAATCAATATTAGATTATAGATCAGTAGACTCAGGGCAGGCCAGATGGCTTCTGGTAGAAGTATTAACATGTTTAAAGATAAAGGGTGCCACACAGAAGGGGCATCAGTCAACCATGGAAATAAAGTAAAAGGGGCCATGTATTTGAAGAAATGGTAATGATCATGAAATGGAGAGGGTACACTTGTCATTGGACGTCAAGTTATTTGTGTCCCACTGGCAAGACTAGATCTTGGATTTGGAGCCAGGAAGTCTCAAGTTTTTCTAATCTGAGTGAAAAGACCAACTCTATCATGAGATGAAAACATCAGATATCCTTGCCTGTTAACATTAAACATTTAATTTATCTACTTGTCATTATTTTGATTTCATGCTCATCATGAAATCAGATTCCCAAGTTTGCCTCCCTTCTATTTTGTGTTTCTTGTCACTATAATATTTCACAGTAAATTAATAAAACAGGCTTTTATTATGATCACTGCATGACTACATAATTTGGCCACTGAGAGTCAATACCAACCTTTTTGACTCAAATATTTGTGATTTGCGTGAAAGTGATATTTTTCAGTGCATACAAGTAAATCAACCCTTTGGTATATATCACCCATGTTATTGATTATTAAATGTGGATCAGTCCTTCAGGGGTTGATGCTACTCTGAGACATAAAAAGGAAAGAGTCTTTGGGGATATAAAAATGAAGACATATTGAAGAAGGCTTTCCTTTGTATAATATCACTTACCTTCTTATTTAAGTATCCATCAGAAAATTGTCAGTCATTGTGTACACTTTTTATACAAAATTTGGTAATTTGCTTAAAATCTTTCATAGCCTCCCATTGCCTTTAGGATATATTTTGGGTTGTTTAGGGTGATATACACATCCCTTTATGGTCTGACTTTCATATCTTCATCTCTTGACATCCTGCTGCATCTAATGAATGCTTTAAGCACATTTGCTACTCTCAGTCTCTAGTCTAAACCATCTACACTTCAGGATTCAGCACAAACAATGTCTTGAGGGAGTCATCCCAAACCTTTCGCTTTTCCTCAGCTTAAATACAACCTTTTCTGGGACTCTGTTTTTTGCTCTCATAACACTATTTACAATACTATGGTGTGTTGTAACTGTTGACTTGTTTATCTTACCCATAAGATTGCAAGCCTTTTTGAAGGAGCAACCCTGAATTTTATCTTGGTATGCCCAAGGTGCTTATATATGAAACTGAAGGGAGTTTACTGAAAAAAAAATGAATGAATGGAGTAGAATAAAATTTAGCTCCAACCCAATTCACTTTCCTTGTAACTAATTAAACTCAATTGAAATAATGACCCAATTCTTTACTTCTCCCTGTACTCATACTCATTGCCATATACCTTTCATAGAGCACTTCAACTCTTGACTCTTGACCTCTACCATGTGCCTTGCATTGGGCCAATGGAACCTTGGCAAACAAGATTCAAGCAAAGAATGGTAGTGAGGCATATGGAGCACAACCACTCAGCAGAGGATGAATGAGCTCAGCCAAAGCCAGCCAAGCCTAGTATAGATCAGCCACGTCCCACTGATGCATGATGAATAAATGCTCTTTTTTTTTCCTTTACCTGTTGACCCATCCTCTAAATTCCCTCCCCTAACAAGCCCTGGTGTGTGATATTCCCCTCTCTGGGTCCATGTGTTCTCAATATTCAACTCCCACTTATGAGTGAGAACATGTGGTGTTTGGTTTTCTGTTCCTCTGTTAGTTTGCTGAGGATGATGGCTTCCAGCTTCATCTATGTCCCTACAAAGGACATGACCTCATTCCTTTTTATGGCTGCGTGGGATTCCATGGTGTATATGTACCATATTTTCTTGATCCAGTCTATCATTGATGGGCATTTAGGTTAGTTCAATGGCTTTGCTATTGTAAATAGTGCTGCAGTAAACATACCTGTGCATGTGTCTTTATAGTAGCATGACTTATATTCCTTTGCGTATATACCCAGTAATGGGATTGCTGAGTCAATGGTATTTTTGGTTCTAGATCCTTGAGGAATTCCCATATTGTCTTCCACAATAGTTGAACTAGTTTACACTCCCACCAACAGTGTAAAAGCCTTCCTATTTCTCCACGGCCTCATCAGCATCTATTGTTTCCTGACTTTTTAATAATTGCCATTCTGATTGGCATGAGAGGGTATCTCATTGTGGTTTTGATTTGTAGTTCTTTGATAATCAGTGATGTTAAGAATCAATGCTAATTTTTACATGCCACTGAAGTTTTGGGTGGTCTATTATGCAGCATTATTGCCGCAGTATAGCTGGTAACACCCATGGTCACTGGTAAACTTAGTCCAGCAATACCTCTGTTAAAAGCAAAGCAGTATAACTGCTCTGACCATAGGCAGTATAAAATAATAGTTCAGGTAGCATGCTCCAAAGCTAGACTGCTTGACTTTTAACTCATCTTTTCCATTTACTAACAGTTTGATGTTGATCAAAATACTAACCTACAAAATCCTACAGTTTTCTTACCTATAAATGTGGAAAATAGCCTATACCTCATAAGTTTTGTTATGGGTATTAAGTGTGTAAATACACGTAGAATACTTTGAACTGTGCCTGGCATGGAATAAATGCTTAAGAATTTTTACTTATTGTTTTTATGTGCAAATAGGATCTTGTTTAATAAACTTACCCATTATTCTATCCCTTGGTGAATGTTATGCTATGTTTATGTTTACCATAATGTGTGGTTCTATATATCTATGAAGGATTGTTAAAATACTAATGTTTTATCATTTTTGTTCAATAATATGTTTCTTTTAAACTGAGAACTAGGCAGAATCCTAAATTGTTAAGCACATTTAGATAACTAGAAAAGTAACGATGACAGAAATTTTCAGAGATAGACACACATGATATCCTCTACTAAAATATGGAAACTTAGGAGCTGAGAAGGTGAAGCCTATTCATGACAAAGCAAATGCCCTCGCTCCGAAATCGCCTTACCCAAGTTCACTTCCTCTCGAAGTTATCCAGAGAGCAATTCCCTACAGGCAGATCAGGACTGACAGACCCTCAAGGGTTAAGAAACCTTAGACTGACCTTAAAACCTACTGCATTTTCATGATTTCTGGCTCTTACATATGTTCACTTACATCTTTTGGGCTGCCATTAATTGGTACTGTGGAGTGTCTTGTAAATCTAGTTACCGAAAGAGCAAGCATTCTACCCCTTCAGCATGACGACCTTTGGAGAAGGAATTTTTTTGTGGTAATAATTTATCAATCTCCTAAAAGTCTTCCACCACTATGCACAAGGCTCTCTATGATACAGAATACTCAAGAAGTTGCAAAGGATAATATTCAACTTTGATGGAATTTGACAAGGCAGGCAAAGTAAAAAATAGTGAAGCCCTTGGACTTTACCACATCTTTGCCAAGAATTCCTAAATAAGAAAATAATTTCACAGACATCTGGAAGAATTCTTCCCATAAAGCACTGGCGATGTGCCTCGGGATGTAGGAAGACCATCATCACCATCTGTAAAGAAGAGTCAAAATGCTGACTGCAGCAGTCGTCTGGAGTTCTCATCTCTCTTCAGCACTGGTACAATCCCTGAACGAGCTGCTTTCAGTCAGTAACTGAGCACTGCTGAATTACTGTTCCAGAGTCATTTGTTGTTTTTGTCAGCTGTAAAAACATTATCCTCCTGATAGGAGAGAAATGCAAAGAATCATATGAATAGTCTGTACAGATCTCTCAGAACTCTTCATTGACATATTTCCAATTATAGTGAGCCAGAATTGTGGTGCTGCTAAATGGATATGGATGTGAGTATAATTCATTATGAGTCAAAGTTAGTACCTAAGGACATGGCCTTGTAGATGACAACTCAGGAGCTGTGTTAGGGCCATTCTCCTTTACTAATGGTGTAGAAGTATTGCATAACTTGTAGATTTGGCTTCAGAAACATCTTTTTCTGAAAGTCTGATTAGGGAGATGAAAAATGATGATTATGTTATTAGATTATAAATTTAGCCTCTGGGGAAAGCCCTTTCAGCTAAAAAAGGTTCTGGGTATCTTTAACGCTCTCAGGAACCGCTTTTGCATACATGACAACTCAGTGGGAGTGTGGAGCCAGCCGTACTCACCAGAGACATATAGGAGAGAGTCTTCC